ATAATTGAGTGGTCATTTTTTTTCTCAGCTTAGATTGCTTGCTCTATATTTTTCAATAAAAACTGCCGAAGGTTGTGCTGGAGGATCCATATTGGTGCTGGTAACGATATACGAGTACCGAGAGCAATTTTAATAGCAACGTTAACTATTGTAATTTACTTTTTGTTATTTTATGCAATAGAAATTCCACACGTTTTTTCATTTTTTTTTTTGTTTTAACAACAAATATTTTCACTTTTTGTTCGCCAATTTTGAAGTGAGGTTCATAAGTTTCTATTGGTTTTATTTTACGGAGAAGTTTTGTTGAATTATTATTTATTGCATTTGTTTTAACTGTCAAGGAAGGAAAGAAATAGTTCCAAAGCAATAACATTAATATTGATTGTATTTTCTTTTATTGTTTTAATTTCAGTACAATTGGTTACTTCACTTCACATATATCAGAAACTATTCATTTACAAAATATGGCAATTTATTTCATTGCAATAATTTCAATAATTACTAATTTGTGAGGAAGTAGTTTGATTTGGTTACACTGAAACTTCAATACCCTTAACAAAGTTAATAATGTTAAGAATCATTTATTTAATATGCAAATATTGTTTAATATATATTGCATATAACAATTTTCTACACCAACTTTCTATTTATTTAAATTCACCGATTTATCAACTAAAAAAATGTATTATAATTTTCTGGTAGAAATTTTGGTATGATTTCAAGTTTTCGAGTACTTTGTTTTGATCCCGCCTTTTTTATTAGGCCACTATTGCCAATATAGCTTACTCCCTGAAATATTGAGGTTTAAAATTGTAAATTTACATCATTTAAACCAATAAAAAACTACACACACCATCTTACGTCAACTAATATATAAAACTTATAGACATATATAAAGTTTAGTAAAAAACAAATCGGTTAGAATACCTGACTTTACTGTCGAATAGGCGTGACCTAAGAACCAAAATTGTGCAGATAATTTATTTGATTTTATTTGAGCTACTCAGACACATATTCTGAAAGCGAGCATAGAAACAGAAGAATACAGTCAAATGGATATACAAGCAGATGGACATCATTAAATCTGTTTATATGGTTATCCTGATCGAAAATATATACAAAATACTTTCCAAAATAAACTTACTATTTTTGTAGTAAGACTTTGTTGTCAATTACATTTATCATTAAAATAGTTCTCTTAGTTATGTACCATTATGACACTCTAGACATTTCCGAAAATGAAAAAGTGTCAAAATTAGATGAATTAACGAGATTGAGAAATAGGTCAGGTTAGCTCATAACAGCAATCCTAGGGAAACACTACGGATCCATCGTGTTTAAATTCAAAGTAAAAAAATTACCCTAAACACTTCACAAAGCCTAAACTACTATTTAACATGAGTTCTAGAACTCTCTAGATCTTAGAGCTAACTAAGATCCTCTAAAAAATTAAACTCTGACATTATGAACTGACATTGCATGCACTAGACGACAACAAAACAGACGTGAGGTTGTTTCTTCAACTTTCCCACAACTGCGACAGGAATCATTTTATGGGAGATTCAGTGTTTTAGTATGGTTTATTACGGGTATGACAAAGTTGATATTTTTAATGGACATCTCAATAAGATTACTAGATTTTTTTAGGTTCTTATTATGAATTACCCATGACCTTTTTAAGACTATATATATAACATATGAACATTCTCTATAAACTAAGTGTTTATAAATTGAAGCATTTCAATGATGGTTCCACCAAGTAATAAATAAAACTTACTATATTATTATATGCTTTGTTCAATAAATATTTTTCCACCGCTTACATAAAACTATTGTCACTTCAAATGTAACTAATAACTCTGCTTACAATCGGAGTTATCGGAGTTATCTGCTTACAATCAGTGAAGGATGATGTACCTAGATGATGTACATCAGTAGAGGATATATTTTACCAACATATCTTATTGTTGTAATTGCTATAAGTATATTACCAACACATCATATATGACCTCCGCTTTATAATTCTATTTGTTTTCAAATGTCGGGTTATTGCATTAGAAACGTCGTAGTACACTTAATATAAACTTAATTCAAAAAATTTAATCGGTATAATAATTTAAAAGAATTAATTCTCAAAATAACAAATGAAATATAATTTCTTGAATTCTTTATTTTCAATTTATTTTTAATGACAACCTCAACCTCAGTTGAAACTGAAATATGAAACATGTTTTGCCAGCTAAACGCCTAAACACTTAAGTTATAACAAAAAAATTTCGTATTTTATTATTATATTTATGTACGTTTGCATATTTATAAGTACAAATTTGTAACTCCAGAAATATTTTCTACATTAAGTCATTTTAAAAATAAATCATATGTGAAAAAATTGCATTTTTTTATAAGTGTACTACGACCCACTGAGCAATATTGAACGCAACGACTGGAAGACGAAAAAGAAAATTAGTTGTTGTCGTTCAATGAACTCTCCAGTTAAAAATACACATAATTACCGCCTTAACTGTAATGAGTGGTGTACGCGACAAATACTGAAGTAACTAACTTTCATGCCATTTTACAACGATGACAATTACACTTTGAGCAAATGACTTTTATTTACATTATTTGCACTGATGCTTTTTACCGCAAACCAAGTCATAATGAGTAATTTATTTGACATAAATAAAATATATGAAGTCATTTTTCTATATACTAAATGAACAGCATGCATTGTAGTTGCAGGTCCAATTTTAAACAGTAAAAGATAAACAGTGTTTCTTTCAGTAATCTTTAATTGATTATAAGAATCTGAACCAATCCTATTTCTAAAAAAAATAAAAAACCCAGAACATCAAAGTAATATAATTAGATATTAAAAATGTTCTTATTATTAACGAGCTTAATTTCCTTTTTAATACACACTTTAGCTGTATTTGCAATAAACAGGGGTGTTCACGACTCCAGGAAACAAGCTCCGTAACTGAGTAACAAAATAACAAAGAACATTGCAAAGGTACAAGAACAAAATGCATTTGTTCGTTATATTAATTTCGTATACACAAACTGTTATAAAGTAAACAATCTGTTATAAAATTTCGTTATGGTGAGGTGACAAATTTATGGTTCATAGTTTTTGCATTTGCGTTATGGCTTCTTCAACTTTTTTTATTCAACCACAATTGAATTCAAATGTATAAATTGCGCAGTAAAAACAAATTCAAAATAAAAACATAACTAACTATGGCAGAAATAACAAACGCAGAAAAAGAATAAAATTATAATTAGCGAATAAAAATACCATTAAGCTTAAAAAGTTCTGTAGAAAATCTGTATATAAGCATAATAAAAATTTAAAATATCTTTAGTAATATCTTTAGTATCTTAAGTCACACGGTGCAAGTTCGGTCAATATGGTGCTGCCTTCACCGTTCATATTCGATGAATTTTTTGTCTAGAACTCTTTACACTCTGAAAAAGGTGCTCTAACTATATATATCAGTAAATTGATCTGATAATTTTGTAAGAGACATTAGCTTATATGGTAAAGAAGATATGAAAACCAACATGCGATATGGTTGAACCATCTGATATTTTGTTAAAATCTAATTGATTGAATTATTTTTCTTAGCGTACCAACAATATCAGCGAACATGATCGGCAAAGGATTATATTGACCTAACATGGCCCTGTGTGCCTTTTTTGTTTCATCTCTGGAAATAAAGATTATTATTTCGATTAGCTAAAGACCAATCTCTATCAGCTTACAGAAAATGTATTGAAGACTAATAATAATTTATAAAATTAATATAATTTCAATAATTTATTAAAAAAATTTTAATTGTATTTAGTAGTTTTTGTATGATATTTAATAATTTCAGAGATGAGAGCGGTTTACGTTCTTCACTATCGACTTTTTCAAGAGCTTTTACTTGTAATATTTATTATCAAGTCTTAACGGTTGATACCTTATAAATCAACATAAGTAAATAAGACAGCACCCATTTTAAATAAGAGGACCCATGTTAGGATCCTTAAAACGTTTCTGTCACATACAAATAACGTATTATACAGTAGTCTCCGTTTAACGATAATGTAAACAAAGATAAATTAAACAACTACACTTCTATATTTCTAATAAAACTGGCACATTACAAGTATTTATACAGTTTTTACTTTATTATATCATAATTTTGTTTTAAATAATCATTATTTCCTCACTATTATACTATTTTCTATTTAAAATGGATATCGTGTCTTTTCTATATTTCTTTTATATAATTATTAAAATTCAAATTTAGTATTCTCAAGCTCATTGTTCCAAACATATATTGATAGCTCAAATGATTTTCAATGATTACCCTAAAAACCTATTACTTTGTGCAACTTCCAATTATTCCTCCTGCTTTTCGATCAAAAGTTAAGCAGCTTCAATTAAAAGAGCATAATTGATGATTGCAAACATTTTCAAAATCAAAATCATCAAACACATTTCAGAAATTATTTATGCATGAAAACAGCACTAGAATGAAAGTACATATAATCATCATCAACGTCATCATTCTATTCTCATCAGAAGCACCAAAAACTTTATCTAGTGACAGCGCAGGAGTTCGTTCCATCACAAGCGCATCCAAAACTGAAAGCAAACAGTAAAGATGAGCTATATCGGCCACATTTACAATTTTGGGGTTTGCTTTAATTTTAATTTTGAATGAAAAAACTTTTGGCAGAATAATTTTAAAAATTAATTAAAAGTTTACAAAATTTAATTTTACAATTTACAATCAACATTGTCATATAACTTTAAATTGAAAATTAAAATATAATGACATTTGCATTAATAATTAAATGAGTAATGTAATGCAATGTAATGTAATGAAATGATGATAAAAACTTTCTGACCAAAACATAGATATCTCAACGAACTGTCAAATAATTTAAATGAAAATATAAAATTAACTGTCAAATAATTTTTTAATCTATTTATGTGACAAGAAATATAAAGTTTGTTCTTAAAAGTCAGTTCAATTGAAGGTTTGATTTAAAAGTTTTTAAAAATAAAAAAAATTTAATAAGGCGCCCTAGATTTCTTTTCAAGGATTAAGGACCTAATATACGGTAACAAATATCTCTTTAATATATTTAAATGCTTTTAATTATTTAGTGCAAAAAATAATTAAAATTTTTATATAATATAAATGATTTCGCTAAATTTCTTGAAAGTTTTCAAATTGCCTAATCGCTTTATCTATAAGAAGTACTTATGGGTAAAATAGAAATGTTATTTGAAATAAAGATTTTGAATTGGTTAATACACCCAATCAATGCACGCTTTTATATCACTAACGGAACAAAAGTCTGAAGAAGAAAGAAATGTTGCTTGGATCGGCGGATATTGCAGATTAAACTTTGATATATTAATAAGAATACGTCTGATGAAGAGATAAACAATAATCCAGTATAAGCCTAGAGAGGGGTTATGAAGAAACCTCGCATATAGTAGAGAGTAAAAGTGCTCAAGTGCACTGACTCAACATAATACTACTTCAAAGAACGTGTAATTTAGAAAATTTTCAAAGAGAGAGAGAGAGGATTTATTGGTAAAAAAGCGGCTCAAAACTTATAAAAGAAAGTGCCGGAAACTTTTTGCAGAACATGAACCTCTAAGCGTAGTTCTTCTATCTCAGCTTGCATAAGTAATCAGAATATCGAATAAAACCTTTTTACAAAAGTAAGGCAAGTTAATGTAAACTTAACTTGTTAATGACTTTAAATAACTGGAATAACTGGATTCTAACAGATTATGTTCATATTAACTTTTAAAAGATAGAATTATTTTGCCGATTCTGCCGACAAATTCAACATCTTTGTCCAGCTAGTTTTTTAATTTATATTGGAGAGAAGAGTTCATCCATTTCCTTCATCTTAATCTAATTGAACTGAATAAAGAGAAGAGTCCATGTCCTTCATCTTAATCTAATTGAACTAAATAAAGTCTATAAAGTTGAACTTAAATTTTTTAAGTTTCATCTGACTTTATCTACATCCACTTATATACTCTGTTTTTTCCCTATGACAGTCAGGTCGATATCTTCATATATGTCACCTATGTAATTTTAAAAAGATTTGACACTTTAACTAAAAATATTAAATTTATCTATTACCATTAGCTTCTACATGCGATTACAAGATGAGTGTTTAGCCAATGATATCAGAACAGATTTATACTTAGTAAAATAGATTTTAAAACTTTATTCCACAATTATTACCTATATAGAAGATCATGTGCATTAGAGATCAAACTGATAACACTACAGTAAGGCCTAAGCCTAATCCATAAACCATTACATATGGACATTTTGGATCATAAGGGCCAAAAGGTGAGACAAGTATTGCAAAAAAGAAAATGGTGCGAGAAATAGATAAACTTAAAAAAACCTGAGAAAAAAAAAATCGTTAAATTGGGCAGGCTATGTTTGAGGGTAAATAAATAAACAGGAATATGCCACCTGAAGTATCGCGAAAAGAAGAATCAATTCGACATTGAAAAAGACTAGTAAAAAGAGGAAACTGAAGAATTCATTAATCTCAACTAAAGCAAAATTATATTTATAAATTTCCTAAAAGGAATCAAGTAAATATCGTAAATATTACGAAGAGGAAGAGCAAAGAAGATTTTTCTATTCCATAGCTACCAAACTTTGCATATTATATATTCTGTTTTACTTTTTTTTATACGTCATCATTACAAATATTTCAATTAATCAAATACGTATTGAAAACTTAAAAAACTTAAATTTATATAAGCTGTCAAACTGAAAAATAATATTTATTTTTAGGCAGTAGAGTTACTACTACTTATTCAATAAGTGGAATGGATTTCTTAAAATTCATAAAGTACTATCGCTTTCTTGTTATCATTACGTTTCCTGTCTTCTTCTGGTGTTATTTGTATATGATGTATTATGAGATAATAGCTATTGCTGTAGTCCGTATGGATGCATATGCCTATATTGAACTTATTAAATACTTCCTGGCCATATCAGTTGCATTAGTTGCCTACAGTATATGGAGTAAATTACTTAAGAAAGTTATGGAGGAGGAGAATATCCCTACTCTTAAAATAGGCTAGCAGCAGCAACCAATTATTTAAGACATTTTTTGGCTTAACTCTGCAAAGCTTTAAATATCTTTGCAGTTAAAATTCTGAAATAGCAAAAAAAAAAACAGGCCAAAAAATGCAAATAACTTATAAAATCTCGGATACTTTTAATGGTAAGTACAATATTAAACTACAAGAAAAGATAACTTCTAAATATGATATACTTTAGCTATAACTCTTTTACTCTTAACTCTTACTACTCTTATAACTCGCTGTAATTGTTGAAGTTAGAAGAAGAAGAAGACGGATACAATGTAAATATTTTAAAGGAATTTTATTTTTGGAATTCTGGAGAGATTTTTTTTTAAATTGATATGAAAAAAAAGATACTTTCCAAAAAAGTAAAGGTAACGTAATAGAGTATTTAAATTAACAATTTCTCACAATTAAATATTTATTTTTTATTTAATTTATTTAGAATAGAGGATGTTCATATGATATTTTGATCATGAAATTTATGCAATTTTTTGGAATTTAGGATAAACATAATTTTTGGGAAAAAAATAAATTTTTGAGAACAAATTGCTTTTTTTGTAAGTATTATTGTATAATTCAAATAAAATTATTTATACAACGCATTATTATTATAAAAATTATAAAATTTTTAGGAGAAACAAAGAAGTTCTATCAAAATCATAACTAAATTGTTTGTATCCTGAAAAAGTGTAATATGTATGTATTTATACATACATACTTACTTGTACTTACATATTATACTTAATATGTTTAAGTACTTTACACTTACGAAGCGTTCAGGAATTCAAAAAATGGAATATTATCACTAAATTTTTAATATCTTAAAATTAACTAATTTAATGTGTTAACTTGTTTAAAGTTAAATCTTTCTTGTTCGCATAAATAAATTTTGTAATTACACTTGCAATTGATGACTTTTTTTTCAGATCATTTATAATAATAAATTTTAATTTAATTGGAAAATTTGAAAGAAGTATTTTATAAAAACAGAACTTTTATTTTTATTATATTTAAATCAAAAAGTTTATGAAATTAAAACGAGCAGCTCATTAATTAATTAAACATATTTCATCAACAAGCCCCTCTCTGTTTGTGCCTTTCATTTAAATGGTTTAAATAGTTCATTTTATTAAGAAAGGCCACGACAAACGACAACAAAGTACATCCTAAAAGAAAAAGCTGAAAAAATATAATGTCCTTCTTTACTTAAATTCACTATATCAATCATATACCCCCATTGCCTAATCTACCGGGAAAAATTTTGGTAAGAACATACAGAGAGCTTTTGCATGTGCCTTTGCTTAAAAACCCCATACACCTAAACTTACAACCTTACATAGTAAGTTCATTTAGTAAAGGGTGGTCCTAATTTGGTAGTACTATTTCGGTAGTATATGACCAAACTCATATGGCTGTCATTTAAACCAACATATGCGTTTAATTTAAGTTTGCCATTTTACAATTTGGATCGTTTAACAAATGCAGAGTATGTTTAATTTGTGAACATTGACTACGCGTCGTCATATAACAATAGTTGGCAATGAGATTCGTTTTTCACTTGGTAGATATGTCAATACGCAAAATTATAGCATCTAAGTCAGTGAGATATTTAAAATCCAAAAGTGACTGTCAAAAGACCCATTCATTTACAAAAGATTATTGTACCGTGGAGGTGTGTTAGACTCATACTTCTTTGAAAATGACAACTGTGTATGGCAAGCAGTCAATTCTGATCACTGCAGTCAATATCAACAACAATATTTTTTTTGACGTGAAGTAGGTATATGAATGTGAAATATAAATGATTTTAACAGTATTGGGCAACAAGCCATACAACTTGTACTGTTTGAGCTTAGTTGGATTAGAAATTTGTCAAAGGCTTTTTATGAGAATAATGTAGAATGATCGATGCTTGGAATAGAAACATCCGTAAAGTTAGGAACAACTAAACTATTACCAGTCATATGTCGACGAGTCATAGAAAATTATTTTAAAGAGATTGCGTTCTATACGATATTCCGTGAAGATCATTTGTATCATGTTGTATTGCAACGAAATAAAAATTCGATTAAAATCTCGATCGAAAGTGTATAACACTGTATTCAATTATTAATTAAAATGATTAAAGTCAAATAAATAAAAGGGTAAAAGGAAGACAACACAAGGACTAAGGGATAAAACATATTTAATATAATCTTTATTAATCTTTATTTATAAAACTTTAAAGTTATAGAATATATTTAACACTAATTTAACACTAATGTAACACTAATTTCTGCATATTTTACTTGCTATATTGTGACCATAGCACAAAGAATAATACTAGTGTTTTAATTCTCTGATCGTTCCGGTTATATGCCAGGTACTTCAAATCCCAAAATTGTAAAGAAATTATTAAACCAAAAAACACTTCCAAAGACATCTGGTGATACTAAATAATACTCAAATTTTAATAACAAAAATAAAATTTCGTTATATTTAATTAATTTATACTCCTTAGTACATAACTTAAAAATGAAATTATTTTAAATTTTCCTACTACAAATTTAAAGTTAAGTTAACTGAAGTTGTGAAAGTTTAATTAAATAGGGATTTTTGAAAAAACTTTCCTATAAAAACAAGAAACTTTTTAAATATACTTTCATATTAAAAGAAGTAAACAGAAACAAAAAGTGTACAAAATATGCATATGAGTACATAAAGTCATATGTAATATAGTCGTAATATTAAGTCGACATATTAAACTTAATTACTATAGGTGCACTTACTAGTGTTTTGTTACATACTAGAATTTGACTTAAAACAACTGCTTAAATTTTCTTCTTTAAAGGATATGGTTTTATAAAGCAATGGAATGCATTCAGACCGTATATAGGTGGAATAAGAAGAAATCTACTCATTTTAAATTGACCTTGAGCGTATAATTTTAAGCAAAACGGAAAATCTCTACGAGGAAGGGTTATCAAAAGAGCAGTAAAAAATTGCATTAAGAAATCTGGTAATTTTCACAAAACTACTACGGAAATTAACAGGAAAAATTAAAGTTTTAAACGCTTGGGGGCAATAATTGAAAGGATGTGTAAAACATTTCGGAATTAACATGGGAAAACTAAAACTTCTTACACTCGGTTAAATTTCTTTTTATACCCACGTACATACGCATAGGTTTTTGACTGAAAGTAAGATTTAACTGCATGAATGGGTTTTAAATTTTTGGAAAAGAGTTTTTTTTAGAAAGGAAACATTAAATTATATGTTATTATTTTGGATATATAAAAATTTTTGGCACATCCCATAATAGAGATAGCATTTTGAAATTTTTATTAGTTTCAATATATAAAATTAAACACGAACTTTGCAAGAAGTAATAAACTTAAGAGAATAGAGAATTTAATTTATTAAAATTAAAATGAGATAATGAAACATCTATTTTCAAATATTTTAACTTCAAAAACATAATTACTTTAATAAAAGTTTCAAGGAATAAATTTAATTATGAACTTAAAGTTAAGATAGAAGAAAACTGATTTATGTTCTAATATGAAACATATTCATTCACATATCTTAATCTTTATATAAATACCATTTTTTGTTTTCTTATAAGATTGGCAACACTGTTATAGATCTACACCACTCTGAAAATTTCAATATAATACATTAAGTGATCCTTTTCCTTGATTATTTGGTTAAACGCAACAAAATGACATATCTTAACTATATGTGGTTCCATACACTTTTTTCTTCTTGTCAAACTTGTAATTGATTTTCTATGAAATGATCATGAAACAACTTTACCGTTAAAAAAATAATTCACAAAATAAACTTAAAGCCTAAACGATATTACTTTATAAAGACTGGTCTCAAATTTCAGACATTATTGTTATGACCTATTAGCTACAAATATATGGTGAAAAATATAAAATATCTATTTCTAATTATTTTATTTTCAAAGCAAATCTACATCTTGTTGTACAAAAGGATTAAGTAATTAAATAAACAAAATAGCAAATCAGCTAACATAAAGATAAGGAGCTAGAGTCTACACTCAGTATATAGTCTAGCAATTTTTATGTCGACTATATAGTATTCCATCATACTTGTTGTTATACTAACGGATTAAGGAATCAAATGTGCAACAAACAAACTGTTTAAATAAAGATAAGGAGCTGGAATCTACAATAAACATATTATCTAGCACTTTTTAAGCCGATGTTATGGTATTTCATAATACATTTTACTGTGGGAAAGAATAAAGTAATTAAATAAACGAAGAAAAAGAACAGCTAAGATGGAGATAAAGAAGTGAAATCTAAAACTAATATATTGTCTACCACTTTTTGCGCCGCTTATATAGTACTATTATATTACATCCATTATTATATATTGAGGACTTTGAAGAAATACTTCAATTAATAGTTAGTCAAGTGTCTTATAATAGAGTATGATAATAGCCAAAAAAAGTATGATAATAAAAGTCGAAAAAATATATTACATATTTCACAAAACAGTCCAACTGAACAAACTTAAAACTTACAAATGTTTGGGAAGCATTATATATTAATAATTAAAAAATATTTTATGAAATACCTAACCACATAAAATAGACGTCATAAAATAGACTACACGTCATAAAATAGACTAAATACTCTTTAGGATAAAGAAGAGTAGTAGTTCAAAAGAGTCCCAAACCGGACTTGATGATTATGTGTGTGTTTAAAATCAAAAACTAGAACGAAAAACGAATTTGTGTATGTATTGGTTAAATCCTGTTCTTAACCGCTACCAAAAATGTAGTTGCACACTTCTATTCTGAAACCGAATAAATTATGAGAAAACTGTTGTGAAAACTAGTTTTAATCTGTGAAATTACTCTGGTGTGTTTAGATACAATGAAAGACGAGCAGATCTAATCAGTTTCTATTATGTTCTAAGTGAAGGTGGGCCACGTTACGCTGGTAATGTGATATAAGGGATCTTAGTGTTAAATTGATGCTTAAACGCTCGGTTAAATAAAAGTTACTAGGTATGTATAGTAGTATAGTAGCTTTACTATGCTATATAGTACTATATAAATATAAATATGTATATATATATACTATATAGTAGTATTGCATACTAGCTAAAAATGTCAAAAATGAAGCTGAGCAAATGCACTACTTAAATACTACGCACAATTAAACTACAGTTGCTGTTGTTGTAACCTGCTGGGACAATGGGCCATTAGCCTAAGTGGATCCACTAGATATCATCGGTATAACCTAACCTGCTGGGATCTGCTTGTGAAGTGTCAAACGGCACTTGGTTGTCAATGGCGACGTGTGATTCC